GTGGCAATAAAAGATGTAAATCGCAGTCCCAAACAACCTAGAAGAGCAATCATGAAACAGTGATCAATGATTAAATGAACTGCACATATAATTATATACATATAAGGTCAGATGAATCACTTGAGCTGAAAAGGACAGGGAGTATTTTAGAGAAATACAATTTGAATAAGGAGCAGATCAAGTTGTGAAAGTTTTATAGCAGGTGGAGCAGGTCGAACAAAAGTACAAAACAAAGAAAGCATATACATTTAAGGAATAAAAGTAATAGTAAGCAATACTTGTAATAATTGCATTGTTACTGATCCATCCCTTGTAGGGCATACTGTTTTAGGGGTTTAGTCTCTTTTATTTGATGGGGATAGATTTACATTGAATACAAACAAACTTTCATCTAATGCTTTGTATAATGATTAATAATGAAGCTCCTAGGTATATCTCTTAAACTCCAGGCTTTTATTATTTAAAAAAATTCAAACATCCCCTGTAGGATCTTATGAATATATATTTTTAAGTTCTTTTTATTTTAAGAGAGAGAGAGAGAGACAGACAGACAGAGAGAAGAGGGGAGGGGAAGAAGAGAGGAAGAGAGGAAGAGAGAATCCTAAGCAGGCTCGACATTGTCAGTTGTCACCGCAGAGCCCCACACGGGGCTCCATCTCATGACCTTGAGATCATGACCTGAGCCAAAATCAAGAGTGACCCCCATTTCTCCAGTAATTTTTTTAAGCTACTTGTGCATATTGTTAAGGTTATTCTAATAACATAGTCTATAATTTCACTTAAGTGGGAAACACTACATCATGAATTTTTCACTTATATTGCCAGAAAATATAGGAAAAAGTTACCATTCTGTTCTTTAAGTCCTATAACATTGTCTTCTTGCCCTTTCCTCATCCTTATGGCAATTATTACTTTACCCCAAATTAGCAAACTGGTGGCCCGCAGGTAGAAATTGGCGTCTATAAATATATTTAAAAGTATTGGTCTATAGTTAAAAATCATGAGATTGTAAATTAAAGTCTTGGTTTCTAGCTTATCTTGAAAAAAATGCAACACTAGAAATACTATATGAACTTTCTTAGAAGATGATGGTTTTCTGGAGCTGAGGGACCACTGCCCCTTTTCGATAGTCTGACTATTCCATTTGCCCTCAATTTACCGATACAGCTTAATTCTTCTTGTCTATACTCTGTCCCTCTAAGGCATTTGGGTGTGGGAGTCCTACTCTACCATAGACTATAGAGAAACAGAATGCTTGTCTCATCCTTTCCAATATTAGATGGAAAGGATTTTAATGAGCCTGGTTTCTCAACCTTCTAGCACTTTCAGTTCTACTATGGTAATGGTAATATTGTGAATGTTCAAGAAGTGAGTTTTGGTAGAATTGAATGATACATGTGAATGAGGTACTGCAAAATCTTCCCAAGCTGCCTAGAAACATGCATTTTCTTCTCAACTTGATCAAATGTCTTGCCTCCCTAATTTAATTGGTTTAGTTAACCATCTGCATATTTATTTTCCTCTGTTTATCCAACCTTGCTTGGCTTTAATTGAATGTTCCTGGATGGCAGAGTTCATGCATTTTAATGCCCTTTGTACCATGCCCAGCGTCAAACAATGCACTGGTAGGTGTAATTGCTAAATAATTCCAATAAACACATGCAGAAAATATTTCTGCATCCTTTTATTTCAATAGTAATTAAGCAATTAAATATATAGATAACTTAATAGCCTTATTGGCAATAATAAACCTTTCAAAACACTAATTTAAAGCCATATCAAGTTGAGACTCAACCAGAACTGTATTAGTATCTGTAATTAGGGTCATTGTAGATCAAAGGGTCTCCTGTGGCCGCTAGAAAGAATGAATCTCCCAGATGCAACAAATGATAACATTAATGGTTTATGCTAAGAGAGATTTGCCTGAGACTTCTGATGTCCTGTGACTAAGCTGCAAGAATGTGTTTCTTACACGTGTACCATCATCAGCAAGTAACTTTGTAGCATCAGTGACCTGCTCACAACTCTCTAAATTCAGAGAAGGTTCAGCAGCTTGGGCCCCTGAAAAGGTATTTGGAAAGTTTCCCAGTTTATGTGCTGTATAAGCTGGAGGCAGTATAGTGATAATTAATAAAGTGCCAGACTGGATAATTGTAGGAACTGTAAAAGATACTATAAAATGTTGTTACCGGAGGCACAGACACACCTGTGAATGTGTGAAGTTAATTTCTGTGAGGAACATCACATGTGAGTGGATGAGGACGACAGAGGTGAGATGTTCTTTAAATAATTCAGAAGGGAAGCTCTCTTCCAAAACGTAAAGAAAGGAACTCCTGCTGGTGAGATAATGCAGGATTTATTCAAGGAGTTTCTCTTGTATTCTCTTGTTATACATACTCATCTTCTTGAGCAATTTTTAAATAAATAGTAAACCTCCCTTTATTGTGTAACAATACACCTCTTGACACTGTAGTATTGAAAGACCTGATCTTATTTTCTCAATGTCACCCTAAATTCTGTGCAGACAAATTTCCATTAAGTTTTCCTACACAGTAAGTTAATGACAGAGAAAGGAAGAATAAGAGTGAGGATACCCACCTCATAATATTTTCATGAGGAATATTGAGGACTATTGAGATTTGCTGAATTATAAGCAATTTACAGAGCTGATAATAGATCAATGTTAGCTCTCTTTCTATCATTTTTTGTTGTTAGTTCCATTATTATTGAAATGAAAACTAAAATCCTTGAGGTGAATTACTGCCAATGACTATTCTGATCTTCTTTTGAAGTGTCTTATACATGGGCTGTATAAGATAGATGTATGGAGGCAAAACTCCCAAATCTTAATATTGCCATATAACAGTATTTTTTCCCAGATCATTGCATTCTCTTGTGTATCAGGCTTACAGATTAACTATGTTACTCTTAACAATTTTCTAACACCAGCTGGGTGTCCTATAGTTTGATTCAGTTCTAACCACCCAGAATTAGTGTAGACCCTACCGGTTAAGGATTTAGTGCCTGCCCCCACTTAAAATACCAGCTGCATGTCCCAAGTCCCTAGGCTACCTGCATTTCAGACTAACTTGGCTGTAAATTTGGTGGTTCCCACAGTCCTCCTTCAGGTTTGATAATTTGCTAGAATGATACAGAAAGTGCTGTACTTATGAATGCTCATTTATTTTAGAGAATACAAATGAAGAGCTAGATGAAGAGGTAAATAGGGCAGGTCCAGAAGGGTCCCAGCATAGTCTCTGTCTCTGTGGAGTTGGGGGATGCCACCTTCCCGGTACATTAGTATGTTTACTAATAAGGAAGCACCTCCAAATTTCATCATTCATAGTTTTTTATTGAGCTCTCATTACCTAGGCATGATTATCATTGGCCATGCAACTGAACATCTCCTGTCCCTCCGCCCACCCTGGCCTCCAATTAGGGTTAAAATTTCCAATCTTCTAGTCAGGTGGTGGGCACCCCCTCCAGAAGCTGTCTAGCCACTCTTCCCTGGCCTCTACCCCTTGAGTCATGTCATTCCTATACACCAAGCATGGTTAAAATTATTAATGATAAATGACACTCCTTTCGCTCAGAAAACTACAAGTATTTTAGAAGCTCTGTGCAAAGAATCAGGAAAAAAAGACTCAATATATTTTTTTTATTATACCACACAAACTATTTCAAATATTGATTAGGCTGAGTTTCTTGTCCTTTCCGTTGTGTTTTGAGGATTTCGAAATTTAAAAACCTTGACTTCTCTTTTTTTCCATTTTTAAAAGAGTTCAGTCTTATAGAAATTGGCCTGACATAAAGTATACAAAATTATTTACATACGTATTTCTCTGCAGAAGCTATACAAACTAGTTTGCCCAAAATGCATATACGGTTTATTTTATTTTTTTGTATTTTGTAGACTTTTGGCGCATTAACTCAAATTGTTTGCCTTTTCTTTGCATCTGAAATTAAATATAATCTCTATTTCAAATCAAATTATTTCCCCACTCTCAATATATTTCTTTTTCACTTCATTTTCAATTATTTCTGATAGTAGGCCTATTCAATGATAGACTTGTAGGCTCAAAACCAATCAGGTGCAGTGTAGTTATAATCAGTATTTATGTTTTAATTGATTTTACTATGGGAGTGTCCTCTAAAGAGACTCTGTCTTTAATATAAGTATCTTCTTTTATTTTTTTTTTATTTTTTTTTTAAATTTTTTTTAACGTTTATTTATTTTTGAGACATAGAGAGACACAGCATGAACGGGGGAGGGTCAGAGAGAGGGAGACACAAAATCCGAAACAGGCTCCAGGCTCTGAGCTGTCAGCACAGAGTCCGACGCGGGGCTCGAACTCACAGACCGCGAGATCATGACCTGAGCCGAAGTCGGACACGTAACCGACTGAGCCACCCAGGCGCCCCTAAGTATCTTCTTTTAAATACAAGTATGAAACCTATAAGGAAACAAAAGTAGAGACAGAAATTATGATACCACAACATGTTACTCTTTCTTCCTTCCTCCCTCCGTCCTTCCCTTTCTTTTCTTTTTTTCTTTCCTTTCCTTTCCTTTTCTTCTTTCCTTCCTTCCTTCCTTCCTTCCTTCCTTCCTTCCTTCCTTCCTTCCTTCCTTCCTTCCTTCCCTTCTAACTTGAAAATATAAAAGCATTTTGGTTACTTAAAAAGTTCAGTAAGTTTTTGCTTTTTTCTTACGAAAATATTAACATAGTCTTCACATGATATACATAAAAAAGATATGCTAGAAAATTTTCTTCCTAATGAAATTTGTAATATGGCCTCTCCAAGTGTTTATATCCATCGGAATAAGTATACATACATACATGCATATTTATAATAGAAATCAAAATGCCTTTTCCACAGAGTTATGATGAGAATTCAGATCTTTTTAATATCTACATTAAATATCCAAATGCATATTAATGTCTCTGTTATTAAGGTTTTTACTGCTTTTGTAACTGGCTTTTTTTTTTTTTTATTTCTAGGTAACCTTCAAAGCCTCAAAACATTCAGTTTCACCAGATTTAAAATATGTTCTTCTGGCATATGATGTCAAACAGGTAAAAAGTGATCTTCTTTGAAAATCTTTCCTTGTGATTCATTCAGGTAACAAGTCATAGTTTTATTTGGTCATCTACTCCTCTAGAAACAATTTGACATATCCAATAGCTGCAGGGGGATACTGATAACCGGTATTGCACAAGAGAGGTTTGGAGAAAGTGTCCTGTCTTCCATACCTGGCTAGCAAATACCTGCAGCAGTCTACTAGGTCTACATGCTTCCTAGTCTGTCTCTTTTAGAGGGGAGTGTGGAAGGTGTATAGCAAATTGGACAAAGTAAGCCTTTTGCCATTTTCAGGACAGCCTTATTATATATGCAAGTGCTTCGTGTATGTATAGATTAAGGAGTTTGCTGATGGCTGTGTCCTGAGATGGAGTGTACATAATGGGAAGGGACTGGTGAAAACATTGATTCTGGTTGTGGTCAATGAATTCTTTTGTGGTATTTGAGCATAAGCCTGTGGTTGTAGAAAATTCTGAAAGCGGGTCAAACCAAGGAATCAATTCTGAACAAATAAAATGCTCTAATTGCAATTAGCATTTCATTATTCTGTGTCAGCTCTACAGCACACAATTAGAACAATATGTATGGTTGTTGAGTATTTTGTATTTAGATATAATTTGCACTGTTAAGAAGCAAAGTAAATGTTGAAAGGCAATTCAGCAGATTAGCTTTTGTAGAAAATAAATGATTGGAAATCATTCAAGAAATTTTTATGTGCTTTAAGACAATAAAAATTTATAGACTTAAGACAGAAGTCCTCATATAAAGCATTGAAAGCCTTTGAGCACATAAAATTTCACAGTTCCAAGGACCTTCTAAGTAATTATTTTAGTCTTTTAGTATTTTGGAATATACATGCACTATGTTTTTAGACAAGTTTATATATTTTCATTTAAAATAACTAACTTACACTGCAGAAGATGGGAGATTATGATCAAAGATCTCTTTTCCCATTATAAACCTTGGCCTTTTTACTTTACTTTTGTCCTGTTCCCTGTATTCATTGAGATTTGAAAAATGCATGTGATAGGAGAAAAACATTTGTTTTATAAACAAAATATTACAATTTCCAAGTTTTTAACTAATATTAATTATCTAAACATTTTTAACTTCATATAAATCTGTATTAAACTGATGATGAATTTAAAAACGAAACAGGTTTTAGTAGCTACCATAATCAAGAGTATGTGGAATGAGCAGGGGGATAGACATAGACATCAAAGAAATAGTTTAGAGAACTGGGAAACAGATCCATACAAATTTGACAGAAGTGCAAATGTAATTCAATGGAAGAAAATAGTTTTTTCAGTAAGTGTTGCTGGAGCCATTGGGCATCCATAGGCAAAACAGACACACAAGCAAAAATACACTGATCTAGGCCTCACAGTATATCAAAACTCAGAATGGAGTTGGTCTGTAAAAGAGGATGAAAATCCAACCTACAGGCTGGTAGGAAATATTCGCTACTCCCATATTCAACAAGGACTAATATCTAGATTACATATAAAAACTCTTAAGACTCAAAGTTACAAAAGACAGAACAACTATACAGTCTTGTGTGCACGTCCACGCAAGATTGAATCATCTAATTCAAGAAACATACAAACAGATAGAGGTAATATGACACAAACACTTGTATCCACTGTGTACAGCATTGTGTGAGGTGTTAGGGAAGTGATAGTATGGAAGAATAGAGAAAATTTCCATTCAAGATGATCATGGTGGGAAGGGAAGCCTTTGATGGGAATTGAAGAGCAAATAGGTAAAGATGAACAGAAAAGCATCCTGTTATTGCATGGGCAATAACATAGGGCTTTGTGGAACTAGCATTACATCTTGGAGGGATAGCAGTCAGTTCAGACTAACTAGCCTACTGGTAAATAACAAAACTTTATACCTAGTGGAGCCCAAATTATAGAAGAACTTAAATTCCATTTTATTCTTTACAGTTTATACTGAGATGGCCGTTTGGTAGCTTTGATGGTTTTAGAGTAATGAAAGGCCATGATTTAATGTGTGTGTCTGTGCATGTCTGGCTGTGTGTGTGTGTGTGTGCGTGCACATGTGTATAATGCCCATTAACAAAGACGGGAAGAAAACAGTCATACAAAATGCAACCACTTAGATGCATCCACTAAAATTATTTTGGTGTGTTTTATTCATTCCTTTTATCCCCTTTATGTGTAAAAGTAGGTAAACAGGAATTATCATATATTAAGCATTATTTGGGGCAGGCTGGAGTTGGACGCTTAATTGGCTGAGTCACTAAGGTGCCCCAAAAGTAACATTCGGTAACTGAACTGAAATTCACAATAGTCAACACAAAATAAGCTGCTTTAAAGTGTACGATTCACTGCAATACAGTACATTTACAATGTTGTGCAGCTACCCCCTGTATCTAGTTCCAAAACATTTTTATCACCCAAAAAGAAATCCCTGTATCCATTAATCCATCAGTCCCTATTGTCCCCATCACACCTTTTGGTAGCCACCAATATGATTTCTATTTCTGTGGATTTACCCATTTGGATATGTAATGTAAATGAAATCGTATGGCATGTGACCTTTTTGTCTGGCTTTCTTCACTTAATATAATGTTTTAAGTTTTATCCACATTGTAGTATGTATTAGCACTTCATTTTTTTATGGTTAAATAGTAACCCTTTGTATGTATATATCACAGTTTGTTTATTCATTTATCCTTTGAGCAATATTTGCCTTATTCCCACCTTTTGTCTATTAAGTATAGTGCTGCTGTGAACATTTGTACACATGAATTTCCTGAGTGCCTCTTTTAAATTTTCAGAGTATAAATTGAGGTGTGGAAGTGCTGGGTAATATGCTAATTTTGTGTTTAACTTTTTGAGGAACCACCAAACTGCTTTCCAAAGTGGCTGCACCATTTTATATTCCCACTAACAATGTATGAATCCTAATTTCTTTGTATCCTCGCTAAACACTTGTTTTTTCCATCTGTCTTCTTTTTTTATTTTGTTTAATGTTTATTCATTTTTGAGAGAGAAAGAAAGGGAGAGACAGAGTGCCAGCAGCGGAGGGGCAGAGAGAAAGGGAGACACATAATCTGAAGCAGGGTCCAGGCTCTGAGCTGTCAGCACAGAGCCCGACACGGGGCTCAAACTCAAACCATGAGATCATGACTTAAGCCAAAGTCGGATGCTTAACCGTTTGAGCCATGCAGGCGCCCCATTTTCTGTGTCTTATTATAAACTATCCTGAGTGTACAAATTGGTATCTCCTTGTGGTTTTGGTATTCACCTCCCTAATGACTAGTGATGTTGAATGTATTTTATATGCTTGTTGGTCTTTTGTATTTCTTTTTTTGAGAAAGGACTCTTGAATTCCTTTGCCTATTTCTTTATTCTTTTTGTAGTTGTGTTTAAGAGCTCTTTTATATTCTGGACAGTAGACACTTATATGATACATGACTTGAAAACATTTTCTTCCACTCAGTATATTGTCTTTTCACTTTCTTGATAATGTCCTTCGATGCGTAAATTTGAAAAATTCTGATAAAGTTTAATTTATCTACATGCAAGCTCTTGAAGTTGTATTTAGGAATCCACTGCCAAACTGAAGGTCATAAAGTTTTATCCCTATGATTTTTTCTGAAAGTTTTATACTTCTAGTTCTTATATGTAGGTTGTTGATTCATTTTGAATCAATTTTTATATATTGTGTGAGATAGGTTTCCAAGTATAACACATTTTAAGGCTCCTGATATATTTGGAAGCACTGCTTTCCAAAATCGTCACGTTGCTTTATACTGCCCTTAGGCAATGTGCGGCTTGTTACATTACCATCTTTACCAACTTAGAACTGTATTTTAAAGAAAAAGTAATTATTAACTTGATTATCTACTGATCAAATACATATACACATTATCACTCTCTCTGTTTCACACACACACACACACACACACACACACACACACACACACACACAGAATCAGTATTAGTTTTATATAACTATGCAATAAATTGCCCCCAAATTAGTGACTTTTTAAAAAGAGTGTTTATTGTACTCTGTTTCTGTGTAATGGGAATTTGGGATTGGCTTGGCTGGATGGTTCTGACTCAGCATTTCTAGTGAAGTTACAGTCAACCCTGAGCTGGGTCTTCAGGCATCCGACAGCTTAACTGAGGTTGAAGAATATGTTTTCAAGGTACATCATTCACTTGGGTTTATGTAAATTGGTGCTAGCTTTTGGCATGAGGCTTCAGGTTTCTCCCTGGGGACCTTTCTAAAATACTGCTTGAATGTCCTAATGACATGGTACTTGGATATCTCCAGAATGAATAATACAAAGGATAAAAGCAGAAACTTAAATGTATTATATAATCCTTCCTTAGGACTTACCTGTTACTTTGAGGGTGCCTAGGTGGCTTAGTCAGTTAAGTGGCCAAATCTTGATTTCAGCTGAGGTCATGATCTCAGGGTTGATGAGTTCAAGCCCCTGTGTCCGGCCCTGTGCTGACAGCACAGAACCTGCTTAGGATTCTCTCTCACGCTCTCTCTCTCTGCCCCTATCCCACTCACATGCTCACTCTCTCTCTCTGAAAAATAAACAAATAAACATTAAAAAAAAGTTACTCATTACTTTCACAATCCCATGTCTAACAACTACCAATATATTCTCTGTATCTGTAAGCTTAGTGCTTGTAATTAAATTTTTTAATATTCTGCATATAAGAGAGATCATATAATATTTGTCTTTCTTTGTCTTATTTCACTTAGAATAATGCCCTCAATTTCCATCCATTGCTGTTACAAATGGAAAGATTTAATTTCTATGGCTGAATAATATTCATATACATATGCATGCATATATGTGAATATACCTGTTGAACCCTTCTAGTGTATTTTTCAGTTCAGTTATTATATTCTTCAGCTCTGTGACTTCTCTTCACTACTTTTGTCTATTATCCATCTCTGTTGACATTCTCATTGTGTTCATCCATTCTACTTCTCGGTTCAG